GATTAAAAACAGACACTGATCTGAATTCAAACGAAAGGAAGCCAAGAAAAAAAATTTCAAACCTACCGATCTTAATTTTTATAATCTCTAGTAAATCTTCAGTTTTTCCTATAAGAAACCGCTTGAAAAAACATTTTGCTCAAGTTATCAAATCAGAAACGAATAAGTCTGAGGCTTTTCGTAAACCGCGTTCGATGCTTCAGCTTAACAGTGTTGATCTGTTCGGACCAGTCTCTACCAGTTAAACAGATCATTTTGCCGTGGATAACTAAACATAACCTTACAAATCCAAAAAAAACGAGTCTAGTTCAGGGTATCAGTTTTAGTGAAACAAAAATATAAGAGCGATAATCAAAATTACTAGCTAGAATTAATAATAATAATAAATGCCACCTGTTTTAGTTCTCGAGACTGTGTTTTTTCGCTCAAGCTTGGGATGGAGGTAAAATCTGTAATAGTTCTATTTTTTTACCAGCTTTTATTCTCAAAAAAATTTAAACTTTTTTCTACTGGAATAAGGGCAGAAAGCCACCAGGACTAAAAGGGAAAAAAATTGTTAATTATACGTAATTTTTTTCATGACCGGAGCAAAAAAAGCGTTAGCGTTCTCAACTGTTTTTAGTGGTTTTTTCAATGATGCTTAACGGTGAACATAAATTAGCAAAACCAAAATATAGGAAGTTAATATTGGATTATATGGTTTAGTTTCAAGAAGAAAAACAAAAAGAAGAAAATAGCGATAACAAAAACTCATGCAACTTTTTTCAGTCTCGAGACTCTGTGTTTTTCAACCAGTTATTGAACTGTAGCAGATGTTGTATATAGATTGGGGTAGAGGTGAAATCTGAAGAAAATCTAGTTTTTGATCTAAAATTGGTATGCAAGAAGTTTTTAGTTTTCTTCTCTGCTAGAAAAGTCCAGAAAGACGCCATGACCTAAAGAAAAAACCTGATAAATAAACTCTCAACGGTTTTTCTGCAATTTTTTTTATCTTTTGATTATATGATGTTTCTAAATCAACAATCTATATTTCCTGCATTTTGATTGAAAATTCATAATAATGCAAAAAAAGCGAAATGTTTTTCGAGAAGAAAGTTTTTCGTTTATAAAAAAGTTTTGAAATTGATTTTTCCATTGAATCTCTGCCTTGCAACTAGTTTTTGAGAACATTTTTCTGCCTCTAAACAATTCAATTTTTCTTCTTGCTAACCTTATCTATAATTACCATGTGAACGGCCAAATCAATTCAAAACAGTTTCGTTAAATCTAAAAGAAAAGGAGGCTTTCTTAGTTGTTCGAAGATATTGTTTTTTTTCTCATGTTGTTTTTCAACAAAGTTTATCAGGTCATAGGCTGTATTTTGAACCAAAGCCCGCCGTCGCAAATCTAGAGTCCAACTGGCGAAATAAAAAGAGAATTTTGAGAGTTCGTAGTGTATTTTGACAATATGCCCACCCAACCAATTTTTCACAAGGTTAAAAACAGCTAGTGTTGTAAATTGATACGGAATTGATAGATCCTTATTCTTTTTCACACGAGCAGAAACAGGGTGAAAAGTTTCAACTAATCGGTCTAAACTTTTCTAACTGCTAAAAGACCTCTAGATACTTCTGAGTTTTACAGTGCTGAGTTAAACCTGGACAAAACACACAAAATTTGAATTTTCAAACGTGTTTTCCCAAATTGGGTTACAAAAAAAGCAAAAATGAACAGAGGTCATTTTGATATATAAACTGAAAATTTGTGGCTAAAAACAAAATTCAAACTTTTTACGTAAATTTTTGAATTTTTTCTGGAATTTTTTTGGCCTGTGGAAGAGGCTTCTTTTAATATAAACTTATTCAGGAATTTTTTTTGTTAGTTTCAGCGTAATTTTGAGAACAAAAATAGTTGCAAAGGAGAAAAACATTTGAGAAATCAATTTAGAATAATTTTTTTTATTCAAAACGAAAACTTCTTTTTTCGAAAAAAGTTTTGTTTTGATTGCTATTTTTTGCGTTTTAGCTTAGGTTGTGGGAAAAGTACAGTGTTACTGTGGACAATAAAGCATCATCAATTAACCAAAAAACCTCTTAAAGCTGTTGAGACTGCAAAAGCTCTTTTTGCTCAGGCTACAAGATAAAATTGTTTATTTATCAGGTTTTCTCTTTAAGCCTGGTGACTTTCTGGTCTTTCCCAGCAGAAAAAAAAACTAAATACCTTTTGTGTACAAATTTTAGAACAACAAAAAAAATTTTCTGAATTTTTACCTCCACTCGATGCCTAAAGAACAACTAATACAGTTCAATAATCGAGCGATAAAACGCAGTCTCGAGAAATGAAAAAGGAGAAAATAATTTGGAAAGTCAATTTTAACATAATTTGTTTTTTTTTCTTGCACAAATTTTAGAGCAAAAACTAGATTTTATACAGATTTTACCCCCACCCCATTCTCTAAAGAAAGACTAATACAGTTCAATAATCCAGCGAAAAAACACACAGTTTCGAGAATTGAAAAAAAGTTGCATAAGTTATTGTTCTGGAGTTTTCGTAGTGTATTTTGACAATCCGCTTGATTGATGATTTTTGCATGGCTAACTTTCCTCCAGATTAAAAACAGACACTGATCTGAATTCAAACGAAAGGAAGCCAAGAAAAAAAATTTCAAACCTACCGATCTTAATTTTTATAATCTCTAGTAAATCTTCAGTTTTTTCTATAAGAAACCGCTTGAAAAAACATTTTGCTCAAGTTATCAAATCAGAAACGAATAAGTCTGAGGCTTTTCGTAAACCGCGTTCGATGCTTCAGCTTAACAGTGTTGATCTGTTCGGACCAGTCTCTACCAGTTAAACAGATCATTTTGCCGTGGATAACTAAACATAACCTTACAAATCCAAAAAAAAAACGAGTCTAGTTCAGGGTATCAGTTTTAGTGAAACAAAAATATAAGAGCGATAATCAAAATTACTAGCTAGAATTAATAATAATAATAAATGCCACCTGTTTTAGTTCTCGAGACTGTGTTTTTTCGCTCAAGCTTGGGATGGAGGTAAAATCTGTAATAGTTCTATTTTTTTACCAGCTTTTATTCTCAAAAAAATTTAAACTTTTTTCTACTGGAATAAGGGCAGAAAGCCACCAGGACTAAAAGGGAAAAAAAAATTGTTAATTATACGTAATTTTTTTCATGACCGGAGCAAAAAAAGCGTTAGCGTTCTCAACTGTTTTTAGTGGTTTTTTCAATGATGCTTAACGGTCAACATAAATTAGCAAAACCAAAATATAGGAAGTTAATATTGGATTATATGGTTTAGTTTCAAGAAGAAAAACAAAAAGAAGAAAATAGCGATAACAAAAACTCATGCAACTTTTTTTCAGTCTCGAGACTCTGTGTTTTTCAACCAGTT